ATTGACCCAGCTGGTCCACATTAGCTAATCATGATCCTCCAATCAAAGGATCCCAAGTCACTATATATATCCTCATTTCCTCTCCACAACTATCTTTGTCTGGAAGAACCCCCCCCCCCCCCTCCCCTCCTCCCACCTTTATCCAGAAAGGGCGGCACAGTGGCTCAGTGACTAGCACTGTTGCCTCACAGCAAGAATACCAATAGCGTTGGGTCCTCACTGGGCCATCTGATATGTCTGTGCAGAGTTTGCATGTTCTCCCCTTGTCCGCGTGGGTTTTCCCCGGTTTCCTTCCACCATTCAAATGTGCTCTATTTTATAGATAAAATAAGCCTAAATCTTTTTTCTAATGTTTTACTCTCAGGAAGTTCGCCTTGGCCTCAGCAGCAGGGGAGTTTGAGATCGACCTGAGCTCAATCTCCCCTCGCCCTGCGAAAAGGGGGAGCCCTGGGCTCAAGGATCCCTTGAGCTCAGGGCTCTCTCCCGGAACAGCATTCCAAACAAGCTATGTATAAATCGTGAGCTAAGTGTGAACTCTTGAAATTGCGAATTTCGGGGCGATTTTTATTATCTCAAATCTTAAACGTGCGCATATGAAAACCACGGCACAGCACATACTACAAATAATATTAAGATTATCGCGCTGTTGAGTGTGTTAGTGCAAAAGTACATAGTGCATGAGTGCATAGTGTGCCATTTGAGACGCAGCTATAGCTTTAGTTGGGCTCGTAGCCCTGAACCTCTCAATGTAAATTTTCTTTTGGGCTGCTGTAACTTTTAAGAACTTTGCTTGAAAAGTTTATTTATTAAACAAACAAGCCAAGTAAAAAAAACTATAAAAATAAGTGAGGCACAACCTGTGATGAAATAATATAATTCACTGATGTTAACCAATGTGTAATCCATTATTAGAGGTACGTAATAACATGCTTGCACATGCCACAGGTTTAGGAAAGTTTACAAGCTAAAAAAATTCTATGGTTCAACTTCTGCTCACAGAGACATCAATAATCAGCGTATGAACCTCAACAACGGTGACAATTAACAAAATGAACAAAACTCACAAACATAACAAAAAGGTTACTAAAAGTGACAAAATCAACAGCGTCAACATAAACAGCAGAATCAACAGCAAATAATGAAAACTGGAGCATCAATAAGCTGTATAATGTATTCATACTGCTATGCATGCTGGGATTTTTGTTCTTTGTCACACCCAGCAAGTGTAATGTGTTGGCCAGATCTGGGCCAGAATAGAAGCAAACTGTGGCCCAGAATAGAGTTCTGGTTCATTTGGTCGAATTCTGGCTGATATGTGATATTGATATGGCTTAATTGTGGCCCAGGTCTGGCATACAGAAGCGGACCGCCCAAGTGCCATCATTCCATCCGGATGTAACCCACATAGCAAAATATCTCTGGCTCAGATCTGGCCCACACAACTAGCTTTCACTTGGCCCACATGCCGCAGTGAATTACGATACATGACTGGACCAAATCTGGCTTCCAGACAAGGGCCAAACATAGACCATGTCTGGGCCAAGTCTCAGCCAAGTTAATATCCCATAACTGAGTCTATGGCCAGATATGTTGGTGTGTCACTGCAATGAATTTGATAAACCCTTGTATCACTGCGCTTTAGATGTGCTATGGGGTGTGCTTTTTCTCTTAGCCATCTGATTGGTAGATTTTCTTACTTTATTTGAAAATAATAAAAATGTATTTTAAATGTGGGTCAAGATAGGCCAAACTTCCATGGCCCACATCTGGGCCAAATCTTTACATCTGGCCCAAGTTTTCTGTGCCGCCTTAAAACCAGGGCCATGTTTGGCCCTCATGCTGTATGCCAGTGCCGGATGAATGTCTGCTGCGCCAGATTAATGCCAAATCTGGGCCACAATTCTTTGCTAAACCTGGGAAGTGTCTGGTGTGGGCTGGATTTGAGTACTCCCATTTGTAATGCTTTACCTGATGAAGACCATGTCGGTCAAAACGTTGTGACATTGACATTAAAGATTTTTGAGAGCTAAAGTGGCAGAGTGCCGATTTTCTTTGGATCTTGGGCTGGATTTGAGCCACATTAATTTTGCTAGCTGGGAAATGTGACTTTATTTCAAACTCTAGTACAAAATTCATAATTGTCATCATTTGTGAGGCTTGTCGCCTCAGACTAATGTCAGTTTTTGTCCGTGTTCAGCTCAGCACCACCTTTAAGATGGGCAGTTTCCAGTGGCACCACGTGGAGGAACGGACCTCGCCACCTATATATACAGGGTTTGGATTATCACTCACCATAAACTACAACAAAAAATAGTAAATAAATAAATAGTACAAAAATAGTAAAAAATACTTCTGAAGATGAACATGAGGATGAGTAATGAATTACATAACTTACTGTTTTTAATGTTTTATTTATTATAACTTTTTTTTGTTTCAAGAAGAATTTCTGATTTGTCAATAACATGGCCAGTTATAGATTTATATTTCGATACAGGCAGTTTTTATAGTTTTATTAATTATTGATGTTTTTAATTTAATTTTATATTTTTTTACTTTTTAATTGTTTTATTTATAGTGATGTTTTTTTTTTTTTTACTTTTTTATTGTTTTATTTATAATGATGTTTTTTTTTTTTACTATTTTTGACTTTTTTTACTGTTTTATTTATTAATTTTAAAGGTTGTATATGAAGACAATATTAAAGCAAATACTAAAGGTAGTAACTTTATTCATCTACAAAACACGAATGAAGATATTTGAATGAAGAGATTTCCTTAATCCTTCATAGACAGCAAGATTTCTGACTATGAGAATACTTTAATTTGCACATAAAACAAAAATAACTTGATTCAACAGTTTTTTCCCTCAGTGTCAGTATAGGGCACGCGTTCCCATGTCGCGCCTCTGACATACAACTCTGGATGCGCTTGTGCATTTTTTTAAAGAGAGGAAGTCGTGCGCAGGCATCCGGTGGGGTGTATGTCACTGCACAGTGCTTGTGAACGCGTGTCCTATAATCACACTGAGGAGAAGAAACTGTGAATGAAAATGTTTGTTTTATGTGAAGGCACATAATCTGTTTTGAGGATGTTTTTGTGGACTTCTGGATGAAGGAGAATATCTAAGATAAAAATAAAAATAGTAAAAATACTTCTGAAGATGAACATGAGGATGAGTAATGAATAACATAACTTACTTTTTTTGTTTTATTTATTATTAATTTTTCGTTTCTAGAATTTCTGATTGGTCAATAGCATGGCCAGTTATAGATTTATATTTTAATACAGGCAGTTTTTATTGTTTTATTTACAATGATGTTTTTAAATTTATTTTTAAAATTGTTTTATTTATTAAAGATTTAAAGCAAATACTAAAGGTAGGAACTTTATTCATCTTCAGAACACGAATGAAGATATCTGAATGAAGAGATCTCCTTAATCCTTCATAGACAGCAAGATTCCTGACTATGAGAATACTTTTATTTGCACATAAAACAAAATAACTTGATTCAACAGTTTCTTCCCTCAGTGTCAGTATAGGGCACGCGTTCACATTTCGTGCCTCTGACATACAACTCTGGATGCGCTTGTGCATTTTTTTAAAGAGAGGAAGTCGTGCGCAGGCATCCGGAGAGGTGTATGTCACTGCACAGTGCTTGTGAACGCGTGTCCTATAATCACACTGAGGAGAAGAAACTGTGAATGAAAATGTTTGTTTTATGTGAAGGCATATTGTCTGTTTTGAGGATGTTTTGTGGACTTTGAGTCTGGATGAGGGAGCTCTAAGATAAAAATAAAAATAGTAAAAATACTTCTGAAGATGAACATGAGGATGAGTAATGAATAGCATAACTTACTTTTTATGTTTTATTTATTAAAATTTTTTTTTTGTTTCTAGAAGAATTTCTGATTGGTCGATAAAATGGCCAACATTATATAACACTATACTTCAATACAGGCCGTTTTTATCGTTTTATTTATTAATGATGTTTTTTATTTTAATATTTTTTTACTTTTTTATTGTTTAATTTATAATGATGTTTTTTTTATTTATTTATTTTGACTTTTTTATTGTTTTATTTATTAATGTTTTTAAATTTTTATTATTTTGACTTTTTTATTGTTTTATTTATTAATGTTTTTTAATTTTTATTATTTTTACTTTTTTATTGTTTTATTTAATAATTTTTTACAGTTTTGTGGCCGAATTGGCTGGTGAGTGATAATGTTCATTGGAAACCCTGTATATATATCAGTTGATCCCAGTAGTCATTGGTCGGGAGTCTCTCTCTTCTGGCTCAAATTACATATTTTAGAAAAAGACACCCAAAATATATGGACCTGGACTGGGAACGACTGAGATATATATTTTTATTTATTTTTTTTATTATACATTTTATTTTAGCACATGGAAGTGTAAGAGTTAAAGCAAAAGCTGAATTTAAAGTGCGGGAAGGAGTATGTACACTATATGAAGGTCTACTCTAGACTGTTAAGTGCTTTTTTTTTCTTTATATGAAATTTCATTAGAGCCAGTGTACATGTTGAAAAATAGGTGAGATGTAACAATGCAGAACCAAATTATGTTCAGCTTTTTCTCTCTGTAATGGATGAAGTTATGTTTAGCTAAAGGACTGTGTTGGTGTGGTTGGACTGGCTAAATGCCATTTCTCCTCATTACTGCTCGTTCTCCTCCTGAAACAAAAGCAGTGATCAGGTTTACAGCTTTAATGCATTAAACAAACGACATATCATTAAAAGAAAAGGAATAAATGTCAAGTAAAAAAGGAAACTTAAGAACACAAGACTGTCATCTGACACTAGCTGGGTTTCCATCAGCCTGTGTTAATGCTTCTTCTTAAGTATCACATGAGAAACGAGTTTCAGTAAAAATCCCTTAATTCACAAAACGTTTTAATGCTCACTTGAGGTCATTTTGGACTCGTGTGTAAAAGGGTTCATGATGGAAATACATTTGTCAAATTAACCTTGATGTAGCGAACATTTCTCAATTACACTTGTTTACTGTTGGTTATGAGGTTACCAATACTACAGATCAGCTGCTCGACCAACTTGATGGAAATCATTAGCACATAATCCGCATTTATAAATACTAAATATATATATTTAGTGCACTTTGAGAAGATGTGCTTCACATTAGGATGGAAACTCAGCTCATGACTGTTTAATTTCACTGACATCAAAATCTATTCATTACCTCAAACCAGGCATGGACACGGAGTGTATGCAGCTTTAGCCGATTGCTGTAGGTAATCTGCAGACAACCGGTGATGAAATCGCTGCATTCTGTGTAGAAAAAGAGGAAGAGATGCATGTAATTATTACCTTAAATTGTAAACCTTTCATTGACATTCAAAATGTCCATCACCACTCTCTTTAGCTGAAGTGCAGATCTCACCTTTTGACCATCCATATTTCTGAAAATAACCGCTTTTCAACTTGAGGAGTTGACGGTTTTCTGGATACTTTCGGAACATTAGGAAATACTGGAGAATCCCGAGTGACCACACTGTCGCTGGCTCGCCGTAGTATATGCCAGTCTTTCTAAACTCTGGAGGGCAGTACTTTAATGTGCCTAAAAAAAGAATGTGTTTCCATTAGCACAACATCTAAATTTCCATGTAAACAACAGATCAGGCGTACCCAAACCCGGTCCTGGAGGATCTGTGTCCTGCAGAGTTTAACTCCCCCCAATCAGACACACCTGAACAAGCTAATCAAGCTCTTACTAAGAATTCTAAGTGAAGTTTATTTATAAACTAATTTCGACAGGATCACGTGCATATTGCTTGCAGCCGGCCTTACATTATTCAATTCATGATTCACCAATCAGACGATTTCTAAGCCACTATAGATACTCTAAGTTCCATATAACAGCCATCTTTGATTTAAAGAATCCCCCCATCCACCCCTACTCCTCTTATGAGCTTATGAGCATGCCAAACAAGCTTTATAATCAATCATCAGCTAAGTGTGAACTCTTGAAACATTTTCTGTCAGGTGTGTTGAAAGTAGTTGGAGCTAAACTCTGTAGGCCACCGGCCCTCTAGGACTGAGCCTTGGCACCTCTGGTATAGATAAACAACAACAGATGTGACCCTTGAGCCATCACAAGAGCTCCTTAGAGCTTTGAGGGATTTACTTACCCCAATAGTCAGAGTAGAAGCCTTCAGTTAGGAGTTCACCACACCCGAAGTCAATCAATTTGACTTCAAAGGTCAGTGGGCTAAACAGCAAGTTGTCAGGCTTGATATCGCGGTGAAATACATTGCGTTTGCAGCACGCGTGAGCTGCGGTTGTTGTCTGGAACATGATTTTCCGTAACAAGTCCTCTCCGATGTTTCCACTGTGGTTTTTTAAATATTCATCTAAGCTCATAAAGGTTATGGGCCGCTCTAGGATCATAATGTAGCGATCGGCCTCCACCTTCCATTCCAGAAGCTTAATAATTTCTTTAACCCTAATGCCTTTATTGGCAAGAAAGTGCAGAGCGATCTCCGCTGGAAGTGGCTGGTCAAATCCATCCTAGAAGAAAGACAGTTGTTAAGATCGTTTGATAAAGTTATTTCCTGTTAAAACTGTTGCTGACGTCTATCATAAAAAGCAGTGGGCAGATCATAAAGAGCAAAACAAAGACAGACACATTTATAAAGGAGAATAACTGACACATAGCACGTTTCTAAAATATCTGCAAACATATTATGGTATTTATGTACTTTAAAAGAGTCAAAAACGTACACACAGCACCTCTAAATTGACATGTTTGAAATAGACACAGTTATTCAGAGCAAAGAGCACAGACTACTTACAACACGGATGAATCGCTTGACCTCGAACTTGGCAATTTTCACTGCAACATGTTGGCCATCTTGTAAACGGGTTCCTTCGAAAACAGTTCCAAAGCCTCCTTTGCCCAGCTTAGCGCCAATTTTATAGCTCCTTGTTTTGATCTCTGTAAAAAGAAAAATAAGAGAAGTTAATAAAACTTGTAAATTAGTGACAGTGCTACCTTTGTGTAAAACTACCTGCTCCATCAGGGGTTACCACAGCAGAATTAACCCCATCATCTAAATGCTTCTTTTTCTGTCTTCCCTATATATTTGATTATGATTTATATAGATATTTCCATCTCAGTTATCAGCTATCCCTGGACAAAATGTGTATGCGCTTATTTCACGCGGCCGCCATTTTTAAGAACCAAAGCAAGGCTGCGGTGGGAACAAACCCGGAAGTATAGGACCAGCACTGTAAACATTGAAGTAACATGCTGTGCACTTCAAATCTCCGGCTGTTGCCAAGAATTTAAAATGCAGAAATGGTGTAAACATCATTTTAATATCAATCAGTAAGTTTTATTTAAACAATTGAAAGCAATTAAGCATCAAACAACATCACAATCTCTGTAAGAGTAATATGCTCAAGTGTCCTCCTGGGCTTCAGTTCATAGCACTAGTTTAAACACTGAGGGGACGCTTTCCTGCTTCAGCCTATGTCACCCGGTGAGTGATAAAACACTGAAGTCCTCTGTAGCACATCCTCGTGTTGTCTGTAATAGTGTTGTCCCGGTATTGAAGTTTTAAAACTGTCCATTTCCGCTAACATTAAAGCGCCGCTGAGCACGGATGACTCAACTGATCTTCACGGCTGCTTCGCGCTCCAGTCTTTGTGTATCTGTGTTTGCACTCAGTTTACCGCTCTTCACCCAGTGCAAACACAGATACACGAAGTCTGGAGTGCGAAGCAGCCGTGAAGATCAGTCGAGTCATCAAGCAGTTCGCACGTCTGTGTTTGTACTCGAATAACAACGGAGGTTAAACTGATGACCTTCTTGGCCAATCACAAGCATTTCTGTTGAGCACTGGTGAACACAATGGCAAATCAGCGCTGTTTTAAGAAAGCCATCAACAGTGCCTTAAATGTTAACAGGAAATTGACTTTTTTTCTTTAAATTCAGTATCGTGACAAGTCTAATATGGTGAAAGAATCAGTTCATTAACTCGAGTTTGATAAATGGCATCTAAAACGTGTGTTTGGGAAAGAAAACATTAGATAACTAGTGCCATTTTCCTTAACTTAGCTGAAAATGAGCTCTGATATCCCTTTTTATTTTCACCATTCATTCAGAACGGACCTTCGGGTCACTGTGAAGACGGTGAAATGATAAATTTGTGCCACTTTCTCTTCGCTGATAAGATATACAGCCAGCTACACAACGTTACTATGTAACTCCCAACCATACTGTACTTCCGGGTTTCTTCCCACCGCAGTCTCGATTTCGCTTTTAAAAATGGCAGCCACGTGAAATCAGTCTATTACAGCCAGTTTAAAGCATAAAAGTGATGAAAACACTATTAAAATATGCATGTGTGTTGGGTGACTAGGGTGTCATGCTAGTAAACTTACCAATGATGTTTGTGTCTTTATCCTTCTGCTTCATTGGCTGAGGTGGATCAGCGTCCTTTGTCTTACAGGTTGCACCTTTAGCGACATCTTTACAGCCGGGCTTAGCAGGTACCACATTTGGAGATTTGAAATGAACGCCGGGCTTAGCAGGTACCACATTTGGAGATTTGAAATGAACGCCGGGCTTAGCAGGTACCACATTTGGAGATTTGAAATGAACGCCGGGCTTAGCAGGTACCACATTTGGAGATTTGAAATGAACGCCGGGCTTAGCAGGTACCACATTTGGAGATTTGAAATGAACGCCGGGCTTAGCAGGTACCACATTTGGAGATTTGAAATGAACGCCGGGCTTAGCAGGTACCACATTTGGAGATTTGAAATGAACGCCGGGCTTAGCAGGTACCACATTTGAAGATTTGATATTACTACAGCCGGGCTTAGCAGGTACAACATTTGGAGATTTGAAATGAACGCCGGGCTTAGCAGGTACCACATTTGAAGATTTGATATTACTACAGCCGGGCTTAGCAGGTACAACATTTGGATATTTGAAATGAATGCCAGGCTTAGCAGGGACCACATTTGGAGATTTGGTAGTACTACAGCCGGGCTTAGCAGGTACCACATTTGGATATTTGAAATGAATGCCAGGCTTAGCAGGGACCACATTTGGAGATTTGATATTACTACAGCCGGGCTTAGCAGAGACCACATTTGGAGATTTGATATTACTACAGCCGGGCTTAGCAGGTACCACATTTGGATATTTGAAATGAACGCCGGGCTTAGCAGGTACCACATTTGGAGATTTGATATTACTACAGCCGGGCTTAGCAGGGACCACATTTGGAGGGGGGTCATCCCCACAGCCGGACTCAGCAGACAGAAAATCTGTGGAGGGGTCATCCCCACAGCCCGACTCAGCAGACAGAAAATCTGTGGAGGGGTCATCACCACAGCCCGACTCAGCAGACAGAAAATCTGTGGAGGGGTCATCACCACAGCCCGACTCAGCAGTGAAGAAGCTGCTGTAGGAGCTGGCAGTGAGCTCACTACTACAGTTGAATCCGGCTGAGGAAAACTCTTGAGGGAAGTCATCACTACTGCTGGACTCAGCGTAGGAAATGTTTGGAGGAACATCATTACTGCTGGAGGAGCTGGCCGAGTCCTCACTGTGATCATCGACAGGCTCTACCAGTGATGGTTCTTCACCGTGAACACTGTCAGGCTCTACCAGTGATGGTTCTTCACCGTGAACACTGTCAGGCTCTACCAGTGATTGTTCTTCACCGTGAACACTGTCAGGCTCTACCAGTGATGGTTCTTCACCGTGAACACTGTCAGGCTCTACCAGTGATGGTTCTTCACCGTGAACACTGTCAGGCTCTACCAGTGACTGTTCCACACTCTGACCATCAACAGGTTCCTCCAGTGATGGTTCCTCAATCTGAACATCGATCTGTTCCTCCAGATGCAAAGATGATTCTTCACACCAGTCACCGATTTCTCGACCTAAAGGAAGGAATAATATGAAACAAAAGATTTTAGTTTTAGTTAAATAACATTTATCCAGTGTTTACAATTGATATAATCAAATGCTGTCAATTGTGAAGTGACTTTTAGGGTCATTTCTTTCTACTTTTAGTTGTTGGTTAGTGTGTGCACATGCAGGGATGTTTTTGCTGTGACCAGCATCGTGATTTTAATCGAGTTGCTGAATGTATATATAATCAGGTCATCCAAATATTTGTTATTAAAGGGCACCTATTTGACCCCTTTTACAAGATGTAAGATAAGCCTTTGGTGTCTCCAGAAGGTGTCTGTAAAAGTTCAGCTCAACATACCCATCAGATAATAGACCCTTCGCTAAGTCCCGCCCTCCTTAGTAACTGTTGCTATGCCTGTCAAGCTTTCGTGCCTGGCACGTCTATTGTAATGTGTATGCGCCGGTGTCAGACATTCCCATGGATATAATTAGTCATTTTTGGCAAACAGGTGAGATATACGAGAAAGCCAGACAAAACAGGACTGCCGTATGCATTACAGGAGTATATTCACCACATAATAGGCAGCCGATTAGAAAATAACTTAATCAAAATTGAAGCTAGGTTAGCCTAGCCGCCTCATACACTGACCATTCAACAGCTTAGTTCATGCACAGCAGGAGAGGTGACATTTTAAAATAACCAAAATAACCCGATAATAACTGATTAAACCGTGATTTCTCTATTTTTAGCCAAAAAGCCTGATTATGTTGTGCAATGAAATATAGCATTACTAACCGACGAGGAAACACACATGAACAGTGCTTCTGCATAATTCAGTCATAGAAAGAACAGCCAGAAAGGGGAAATTGATGGATTTGTGCTAATTATTAACATTATTGACCCATAACAATGTACAGTATCTATTACTGTCAGTATGTTTGCGCTTTTTATACAGTTTCTATTCTAATTTGCAGTTAAGTGGAAAAAAATTTACTAATTAAAACGCAAATCAGAGTATAAATAGCAGAAGTGAACAAACAGATATTCAGCAAATATTAATCCGACACCAAATATAAAACCAGACACTAACCCGCGATAACATCATCACCAATGACTAATGTTAAATCTCTGAAAGACGGATGAAAACATCAGTGAATTGTAGCTCTGACATTGGCATGAGGGTTATAAATGACTGAAAAGCAGCTGCGGGTGAAGTATATTGATCGCAAATGCTCAGATTGTGATCACATCTCGGTTTTGTTGTGTTGATATGTAATTTCAAATATTCTTAGCTTGAAACAGATGGAAATATGATTGCTGTTAGTATGACTACTATGGCGAGGGCTTAAACGGAGCAGCGCTCATAATGTCCAGCAAAATAAAAAGAAAAGAGACAGCTGGGAAACAGAACCTGCTTTGTATTTTAACATCAGAAAAAAAAGAGATTTATTGGGTTTATATCACTCTAATATGACAGTGGACACACTATACCTACACACAGTTGTGTCGTAACAGCTTACAAAAGATGATTTTCATTATAGGTGCCCTTTACGTTCATGGTTAGACACTGAGTATTAGGCTTCTGGATATTGAGATCTTCCTTTCAGTCATTAAATTAGGCCTATTATGCCTAAATTAAAAATGTCACATGATGAATTTACTGTTCATAATCTAATTCACTTTGAAATCAATGATTTGTTTTGTATAAATACGTCAGTATGAACTTATAGCTGTTATATTTTGTGTCATATAACAATGAATAAAATAACCCTAAGCTTGGCAAAAACAACTACATGTAAAAACTATAAAGGACATATTCCTAAAGGATTTAGTGGTGTTAAGATGCCACCAGTAGATGACAGTAAATTACAAGTAGAGACGAGGAATCTAACAGGGGTGTCGAATCAAATCTACATTTTGTTTTATTGTTTTGTTTCAGGACACCTGTGGGGAAACAGGCCAGCAGGACATTGAAGAGCACATACCGAAAATTGTGACCATACACGCACGTGCACTACGGACAATTTAGCCTACCCAGTTCACCTATACTTTGTCTTTGGACTTGTGGAGGAAACCGGAGCACCCGGAGGAAACCCACGCAAATGCAGGGAAAACATGCAAACTCCATACAGAAACACCAACTGAGTCGAGAACTTCTTGCTGTGAGGCGATTGTGCTACCCACTGTGCCACCATGACACCCAGTAATGTATATTATCGTATTTAAATGATCTTTTTGTTTTCTTTTTGGTGCCCATTGAATGTTTGACAAGCACAGCTTTTAAAATACTCTTGAAACCGTTTTTGAACAATTGTTTATATTAAAGCAGTACATTTTTTTTTTTTTACATTTTTGCAATTTTTTGGACAACTAAAAATGCTTTAAGAAATGTTTTAAGATGCATTTGCTTAATAAAGAAGTTCTTTACTTGAATACTCTCCTGTTATCTGTTGCTTCTTCCACCTTTTGTAATGTATATAATTGTACGTTAACTGATAAGTGACTTGGTATTTTAAAGTTAAGAACTAAACATTTTTAATTAAAATGAGCTTAAGATTTTATAATTGGGTAAACAAAACTTTAATGGTAGATATAACTTAAATTTGTAAACAAAAACTGCTTAAAACATTGGGTTACACCAACCAATAAATTTGAGCAAAACCATTTACTAGGATACTCATAAAGAGGCATGCAAAAGTGATGCACTATATTCTTAAGGAAATCTAGCATATTATTTTTTCCAGTGATTGAGATTTTATTTATTAATTTTGCATGGCAGTAGTCAACATTTTTGTGTTCATTTTATAACACAAATTAGGATGTTAAAAAAATCTTAATTTGTGTTCAGAAGACGATAGAAGGTCTTAGGTGTTTGGAGTGACGTGAAGATGAGTAATTAATAACAGCGTTTGCATTTTTGGTTGAACTAACCCTTCCATCTTGAAGCAGAGAAAATGATTTTGTCTTTACAGATTACCAATGCATAATTGAAAAACTTAATGTAAAGCAAAAATACTTTACTTAGTTATTGTCTTGTTTTTAGTCCAAATATAAAACATTATATCAAGAAGCGTTTAATAAGTAAAAATATTGTCTTGTTTCAGAATTATGTCTAAAGTTTTTCTTAAAACAAGCTAAATAATCTGCCAGAGGGCAAGTAAAATGTATTTCAAAGCATTATTTTGCTTGTTTTAAGGAAAAAATTACTTAATTTTGACTCATTATTTCTAAAAACCAGGAAATATTTTCGCTCGTCTAGAACAAAGATTCTTGATTTAAGAATTCTGAGATATCTGGGCTAGAAACAAGACAAAACTATTATTTTATATCATTGTTGGCACCATATAAGACACATTTGTGAGACGTTTGACACCCTGTGTAGAGCGGTTTTCATTAGGCCTGTGTTAATATTCACTTTGTTTTTTAGTAAATAATATTTACAGTAGGGTAAAACAGGTGTAGAGCCCTACACAGACTCTAGTGTACAAAATGAGGTACATGTTCTTTAAACACACAACATTATTTACCATCAGTGTTGGTCACAGGTGGTGGTACCGTGACCAGTCCTTCTTCTTGATGGTCCAGAGTTTCATCTTGACCTGAGACGGTGGTACTGATGTTTCTTTCTCTCAGGAAGAGAGCAATAGCTCCGAGTACGGTAAATAACATTAGGATTAGTTTCCGTACACTTAAATATGAGAAATGTTAAATACACCTACAATAAACACTGAAATTTACTGTAAGTAAGGCTAGTTTATCAGAGTAAGCCTCAATAAACCGTACGCTATCAATTGACAATGTAAGAAAAGCAAATTGTTTAAAGCAAACTTTGTACAACTCACTAGTTACTTGTCAAATAAGAGCAATGGCGGAATTTGGTTTGGAAGAGGCTATGTGTCTCCTACTGCGTCATAAATTCGAACGCGTTCCAACATTCCACAGTCACCTGTTAGGTTATTGGTCAGTTTTGCGCGGTGGGCGGAGCTTCTCCGAGTTGGAAAAATACGCTAGTTAAAGTTAGCCGTTGTTTATTTCCTTCACGGCTGTGTTAGAAGCGAAATAAAACGGATTTTTCAGGAAATCTTTGTTTGACTCGTTAATATTTCCTGTTTGATGAAGCATTACAGGTGTTTTGGTGAACCAGAGATTTGTTTTTTTAATCAGAGTCGATTTAAATACGTTTACAGGTAAGATTTGTCTTAGTATTTATTTTGTACCTCAAATGTAAGTTATTAGCACTGTATAAGCGCTTGTTTAAACATGAAACACGATATATATTAGTGTATATCCATTAAAAGCAGCAGATCTGCCTTATCAAACTCCATTTACACTCCAAATACAGAAGTAATGTGATGCTGAGATTCATAAAATGGCGGCGTGTCTTACTGACTCCTGTTTGGCTTTATAAATTACCTGTTCATTAGAATTTGTTCTGTTATTTGACAACAAGGAGAAGAAATATATATGATTTATCTTAATTAATGTTCAAAATTGAATATAGGCACTCTTATGTTCGCATCTATTTGTTAAAGAATGATTATAATTGTATTTATTAACACTATTATAAGAATAGCAATTAATTATTGTTTGTATTGTTTGAAGTGTTTGAATTATGTAAACTTTATATCTGTATGGTTTCGGTCAGTGTCCTGGATTCGGTCAGTGTCCTGGAGCATCACTTTCTCATGTTGGATTTTGAGACATGACACTTAAAAATGTTCTCAAAATACACTTAAAAAATATTGAAAATGTATGTAATGAGAGTTCATAAAAAGGTCATAAAAGACACTTATCTAGTAAGACAGGGGTAAAATGTTGGCTGAAAACGTAGAGGGGACAGAGCTCTCTCTGTGGCGGGTCCTTTGGTTGTGGAACACCTTGCCCCTTGAGATTAGAATGGCTCCATCATTATCTATTGTTAAATCACTTCTTAAAACTTTCCTTTTTAGCTTGGCTTTTTAAGATTAATTTAATAGTCCTTTTTACTGCTTCATTTTCACAGATATTTCTCTTTTTTATTTCTATGTTTTAGATTCTGTCTTTTTATTTTTTACCCTGTCTTATGTACAGCACTTTGGTCAGTCTTCTTGTGACTGCTTTTAAATGTGCTTTATAAATAAATGAACTTGAACTTGAGCAGGACCACTAGTGTCTATCTGCACTTGTCTGAGTGTCTGTAAATCATTATAATATTAAACACGGCTGTTCTTGGTTTAATAGGATGCAGAGGAGATATACACGGAGAATGTGATGCGACTGAGAGAAGAACAAACCTTCAAGTACCACAAGTATGTAGAGAGCAGATTATTGTATTGTTCAGAATTGTTTCTGAATATTCATTACAGGAATCATGATGTGATTAAAGACAGATTTATTTTAATATGTTCTTAGATGTTCACATTTTAAAAAAAAATGGGTTTACAAACTTAATGTCCAATATAAATGAGGATAGTGTGTCCCCTTCTGTATTGTAAAAACATTTGCTAACACTTTTATTAAAGCAGTTAAAGCAGTAAAAGAGTATGCTCACAACAGCTCACAATTATATTTTTAATTTCAGTGAGATATATACATACAGGTAGTTCTTTCGTCTGTCGTGCCTTTAGTTTGTAAACCGTATTTTGGTGTATTTCTGTCTTTAACCCACTGCAAAGTGCCCATGCACGAGAATACCTATATATATATATATATAATGATGTTCTGGGGAGTTTTAAATATGACATGATAAGAGAATACATATATTCAAATACACATGATTACAACTGTCTGAATGTGCATGCGCAGCCGAAATTGTCTTAGATTGCATCACGTCTGCATCCAGACTTTGTTGGGCCTGAGTAGGAGAGAGATTAACAGTAAAACTGCAAACACCCAAAGACTGGAATAATTATGCAGAAAACAAATTCACTTTAAAGATTAATTCAAACAGAAAACAGCCATTGTAAATTGACATTTTATGTATACATTTTATATATGTATATATATACACACACACACACACACACATAAATTGACATATATATAAAATTGACATATATATATATATATATATATATATATATATATATATATATATATATATATATATATATATATATATATTTTTTTTTTTTTTTTTTTTTTTTTTTTTTTTTTTTACCAATCAAAACACAAGCCTCTCTTACAAATGAGCACTGAAGTTATGATCGCCGGACAGCTGGTTTCTGTGCAGTATTGCCAACAGTGCCAGGAGTAGAAATGTTTCTCTTTACCCCACCTGCTGGGCAAGTTGTAACAGACAGAGGGTTAGTTGTAACACATGCTTACAAAGGCAAATTTCACACAGTAGATTAAAATACAGTTTACTTTAAATAGTAGCTATATTTTTTATTTATTCTACATAGTACAGCATGTTTATTTATTTATCTATTGTATAAACACATTTGGATTTATTTGCATTAATATCCATTTATTCATTATTATACGATGCGTTTATTTGCATTTTTAGCAATAAAATATATATTTTTGTCTATTTAAAAAATATATTCTAGTAAAAAACATTTTAATATAAAAAGTTCTCAACGTTACACTCAAAATTAAAATAAAATATTTTGCTAGTTTAATTGGTTGTCCAAAAGTGTGTGGCTTAATTGTAACACCCTGTCACAACCAAGTGTGCCGCAAGCCTACGTTTGAGTGAAGGTTTCGGCCGTTAGATCACCCCCTGGGGGCTGGCTGCAGTACAAGTCATAAAGCCCGCCTCCTCCGTGTTAATGAAGGAGACTTGAGCCCAAATAAAAAAAAATATTACACTTGCAATAAAATGTCCCGAAAGATAGTTCTGGTCGATTAAGGCACTGGTTATTGTGCTGAAATAGGTGCAGATCTTCATTTTTGTAAACAGTTTGTTTTTAGCAGTAATTTAATGCTGGGCGTGTCATCGTGATTGACAGCTGTGATTGACAGTTTCTCAAAGCGCGGCGTCTGAGCTTCGGCAGGAGACTGAAGTAGACTGAAATGTTATTATTCGATTTCTGTGTTATTTTACCATGACAAAATGAGTTCAGCAGTAAACTATAGTTTCTGACATACATGATCCTGGTGGAACACTGTTTATTCGCTAAGTTCAGGGCTTTTTTCGGGCTTTATTAGTTTGCTGATACACACCTAGCCACCCAGATGGCAAAACACAGTTCCGGCTAGATTCTCGCCTGCCGGAGACTTATCTCTTAGAGCTCAGACTGACTAATGTTACCTCTGCTGGACCTACTCCGGATGCCTGGACTCACTGCCCGATTCCAGTCCGAGTCAATCGAGCCAGATGCGGCGGCCGAGCGAGCAGGCGCTGCCGCATGCGAGCCGGAATCAGCCCGCGACGCCGCGAGTAAGTTGTGCGCTGCGGCCTGGAGCTGGCGCGATTGAATATATAAAACCCTCATATTTGTTAACATTATTACATCCATTTGTGTAGATATAACAGCAAACGCATGCTGAGAAGTTCGGGGGGCGTAGTTGATTTTACATAAAGCGTTTGATTGGAAGCTCGACTCTGCTCATTTTCGCGGCTCCTCCTCTGGCTCCATCAGACAGTCCTTCTGCGCATGTCTGGCTCCAATTTCAGCAGTCTTTTGCGACAGTTTGTGCCCGTCAAGCAGGCGTTTTGCCCTCAAGGCGTTCAATGGGAAAAAGGGCTGTCGCGTCGTCCATATTTTTTACAGTCATTGGTCACAACTAACCCTGCTGTGTTGTGTTTCCTCAAAACTGGCGAGCAGTCACTGTGTTTTTTTAATCTTTTAAAATGGTTCCATCTTTAAGCCTAGAAGACGGTAATCACAACAATATAAGATTTTACGTACATACTAAAATAAAAAATATTGAGTATAATAAAAAATACTTTTATAATAATAATAATAATAATGATAGCTTTTATTTATAGAGCGCTTTACTCAGACCCAAAGCGCTACAAGGCATACAAGGCAAACAGTAACAAAGCAGAACAATAAAAACAGTAAAAAAAGACCACAATAAAACTATAAAATATGAACAATTCAGTACATTTGGATGATTAAATTAACAAAAATAATCAATCTAAGTTAAAAGCAACAGTAAAAAGGTGAGTCTTGAGAAGTTTCTTAAAACAGTGAGTCCGGAGAAGCAGCATTCCTGATGCTGAGGGCCATTCCATAGCTTACTCTGTTAAAATAGTTGGGTTAAAAATACCCCAACACAGGGAGGCGATTTCAATTGTGTTATGGAGCCAAGGCTTGATCGGTCGAATTCTAAAACTTTAGAGCAAACTGCTATGGCTAAGGCAGTGTCTTTTTTCGTGGATCAGGTTGGATGTGTTAACCCATGGCGCTTTCTCGACCCATTAAAAAAAGATTTTTTGCTTTTTTTCCAAGTGTTCATCAATCTCATTCACGCATTGATTTTTTTTTTCTTTTATAAAGCTCCCTTACCTTTAGTTAGCACTTCTGATTATTCTGCTATTGTCATCTCCGATCATGCTCTACATTCACTTAACCTAAATCTTTCTTATTCTAGAGGCCGAGTAAATCAGTGGAGGTTTGATTCAGGATTTTTATCAGACAAACAATTTTGTGAGTATACAAGCAAAAACACCACAACATATAACCCAACTATAGGTTATTATAGCACCTTCCCAAGTATAAGTTATTTTAACCTAATGCATTGGGTTATATTATTTAACCCAATGCATTGGGTTATTTTGATTAAATGTTATTTTTTCCATTCTGCTATTACTATTGCTACTATTACTATAACTACTATTAACTTTATAATTATGGCTGTGTAAATAAATAACATGCAGTTTACAAAAATATTGAAAAGGCTTTATTTCCATTACATTTTGTTTCCAGACACTTTTGTTAAA